GTCATAAATTATTTTCACAAAGTCATACTAGAACACCTAAAGCACTATTGATGAAAGATTAGTAAATATTTGATAGAGACATATTTACTAGCAAGAGTTGAAAAGTTGGAAGGTATGGGCAAAAGATGATAAATTATGTTATTTTAATATTTTACAACTAGTATAAATAGGGGTCTCTTCCACCCCATTTTCATTCATTCATTCACAAATCATCTTTCTTACTTCTTTACTTCTTTCCTTCTCTAATTTCTTCATATAGCAATATTAGTTTTAGTTATCGAAGTTCCCACGATATCGGTTCGTAACCTTTAGAGTATTTTGTGGTAAAAGTTCTTCTAAAGTTTCAAGGGAGTTTTATACGTCAAAGTTCTGCCCAAATCATTTTCATAAGTAATCGGTAAGCCGTTATAATGTCCATTTTATTTTAATTATATTATTTTAATTATGTTATTTATATAAAGGTTATTTTAAATTTTCTATGCAAATTCCGTTCAGACGTCGATATATTGAACTTATAAAGTCCAAAATAAATTTTACCATTTTAAGTCGTTATAATGCCCAAATTTTATTATAATTTAAATGTTATTAGAAATATACTCTTGACAATTTTCTAAAACAAACAAATTCAAAAGGAGGTATAATATAATTTATATTTGAATTTAATAATTATTTTGGAGGTTATTATGATATATTTAAATAAATAAATATTTCAAGTTATAACGGGATTATGTTCAATTAACCATAAATTATATTCTAATTATTTCATAAATTTCGTACAATCCAACGGTTATCGTAAATTAGGTTCTTGGCAAAGATCGAAGACAACACTTGTGGACTTTCAACAACACTCAACAAAAGGTGGGGGCAAGATTTCGTATACGATTGGGACGGTTAGCGTAAAATAACTTAATATATATGTGTGTAGTGGTGACCTAAGCCCTACTAGCGATAAATAATTAAGGAGAGCCTATTCTCAAATAATGATTTTCACAAATCACTAGGCGAGGTTACGCCGGCCTTAATTAATTATCATAGGAATAATCTTTGACAATTTGGTATTGTATTGTGCTTGCATTATTCGGTTAATTTTATAATTGTTTATTTTATTTATACTTGAATGATTGTGATTGATAGATTAAGGAAATAATCGGTTAATGAGAGAAAAACATTGCTAGATATTAAGTAATTGATCCCCATTAACATAAGGAAAGTTGGATACAATGAGTAGTTATATTTGGTTGGGTTCTGGCTAAGGAAAGACTTGGTCGACTATGCCGTTTACAGTCCACCTCTCTTACCTGGGAAGTTAACCATACAATTACCCATTATACAAACTGAACTTATTATGTAAGGACAAAGATCAAATATGGCAAGACATTGGATGGATTTGGTACTCAACCTAAGTATCTAGATAATAAGTATAACTTGAAAAGTTGATACGATAATTCCCCATTATTAACTTAATACTTATGGCTAAGAGTTGCCACAAGATGAGTGAGTGATCATATAGACTTGCATTAAGGAATGTGTAAGTCCACCGCCGTGCGGTATGGGACGCACGAGGTTGATCAGTCGCCTGCAATCCCGACGGGGATTATTATCTATGCATGCTAGGCAAGACAAGGTTCTTGGCCTGAATTCTCAGGGACGATCGACTTATAACACCTAGGCTCCATGTGAAGTTAGGTGGCGTAGCTCTTGGTAATTGGGAGTACGTTGGTGGCATGTGGTCTAGTGATATCTGATCTTGGTAAATGGGATAGATATCATTGACAGCGTTTAGTGGCCTGAGTCAGCATATAGTTCAGGGATGCATTAGAATAAATAAAGTATATGTAATTGTGGGTATAAGATACGCTTGTTTGTATAAATATGGTTTCCATATATATTATTATTTTACACATTCATTCCCACTTTTAAACTTGTACATGAATCTTAGCCCTGTGTCATTTTTGTTTTGCATTTTGGATTATTTTATGACGATCAGACGATGAGCTCGAATCTTGCGTACTTCCCGACAACTCAGAAGGAAAGGATATGAAGTGACGTGGAGATGTGTTACTATAACATCTAGATTGGGAGCTGTTAGTGTTTTGTCAAACGCTAATCACATCCCTACTACTACAGTCAGTATAAGTGTCAGTCTTGTTGGACTTAGGAGGTCCCTTTTGGTATGCTTTCTTTTTGGTTTCCTTTCTGTACTTTTATTTTATGTTTTATCTATGTGGCAAGGCCGCTAGTCTTAACGGTGTCAAACTCTGTAAAATATATTTGAAGCATATGTATGTGAAACAGTATGTTTTTAAATAATTAAGTATTGTCCTTTAAAAATTTCAAATTTTTCTGTATTTTTATAAGGTTTCATTAGAATTCCACTAATGGGACATAGGCTGTCTCATTTAATGGTATCAGAGCTGGTCGATTCAGCTCGGACCGTAAGTGTCTAGAATTATACTGACTGTATCAAGTTGGATTCCAAACTGGATGATAACTTTTCTTCTGTGCATTGAGTCTTCATCTTGAGAGCCTTCTAGTATAATGGTCTAGGAAACTTATTTAGCACACTTTATTTTTCCTCCCCAACGGTCACAAACCCAACGGTAACGTAACGGACACTTCACAAAATTCACTTTATAAATACTTCACACCCATCCATTATTTTCATATCAATTCCTAAATATTTATCTATACCTTTCAAATGGCTAAATCCTTTCTTTTATTCATCACTCTTCTTGTCATTATTTTGTTTGTTATTGGTATCATCAAGCATGAAGAATTAGGTAAAGATTTCGTAGCAATAATGATAATTATAGTTTTACCACTATTAGTCTTAGCTTGGTTTACAAGTAGAGGTTTTTGAATGAGACATGGTCACGATTTTTGTAATCGTTGTTATTAAATAAATTGATACATTTTTGTTTA